CTCCGTTGTGGACACTAGCTTACTCCCGCCTGACTCGCAGCCCTCGCCTCCGGAGCAGCAGTCTTCGTCTCCCCAAACTACGCCGCCCCTCTGCGGCCCGCAGGTGCCAGGATACCACGGCAAAACAGAGCCTGCCCAGCCAGGTATATCTAAACAAGTACCCGCCTGTACAGTGGGGTTAGGCGGTCATTTTGCAGCTCGTGGTATAAAAATAGACAAGGGCTAGAATATTCATGTGAAAATAGTGCCATATTCTGCCATGCCTGTAGAAATGTTGGGTCAAAAATAATACATAGCCTACAATAGCACAGAATGGCTACAAAAAGATCTCATATCCCAAGTTTATCAACAAGCTAATGTTGCAGCTGAAATGTTCTCCAGGTCACAAAGTCAACCTCACATGATGATGTGATACCAGTTTTCAAGCACAGTAAATATTCTCTTCCCAGAGTATATGATGGGACCAAGGTGATGATTTAGTACATGGTTTTAATAATACTTTTGCTTTTCAATGTTTGCCATTTCAAACCATGAGCTGGTTCAAATCATATTTGCCTTGATTTACAATATGTTCTCATTTGTTTTATCAGTACAGTTCTGAAGCTTTTGTGCTTTTCCTTGCCATAGTCCACTTTGGACTATATGAAATATTTCAGGATTGCACTTTTAACTCACTTGAAATGTTCTCACTTGCTTGGTTTCAAAACATAACAAATGCCATAATCTGTTCATTGGGGACCATGAATGCTATTTTTCATTGGTGTTGCCGGCCACTATTGCTCATGTAAACCTACTACTGCTGCGCCCCCTGTAATCTCAGAGGCACCCTGAGTCATTTTGTTCTAAAACCGGGCCTGTACATGGCCATATACTAAACACACTACAGAGCCCATTCCCTGTCCTGTTATTGTTTACTTCCTGTCTGCCTTCTTCTGGTGATTTATCTGACGTCCAGCGCTCCGTCTTTTAACCTCTTTTCCTTTCTCTTTCTTGATCCTCCTTAGCAACCTTCATTATAGTCATTGACAGTGGTCTGTACTGCTGTATTAACAACGTGTCACATGTTAAGAAGTTACAATCAGAATCGAGTATTCAACTAAGCCGTGTAATACAAGTTGTTAGTAGCCTTAAGGGCCTACACAGTTGCTATGCTATACCACATTGCCCTTCACTGGATGTATAATGAGCTGCACTAAACTACATTTTAGCATTTAAAATACCTAGCCATTCTTTTGCGGTTATTTTGGTGAAAGTAACTCAAAAGTAACTAAAGTAGTGTAACTCATTACATTTCAGAGACAGTAATATTGTAATGTAACTTATTACTTTCAAAAGAGAGTAATAAGTAATATGTAGTATATTACATTTTGGAAGTAACTTGCCCAACACTGACGGCGACACATATTCAGTTGCCAGTTAGGCTACTTTGGCATTAGGGCAGGGATATCTAGATACTTTCCAAGGTTTGACTTAATGAATTGTGCTACTTTTAAAGCAAGCAACGATGTTTTCAAATCTGTAATCAAAAAGCTCCTCAAAAACACTATCGAAGCAGTTCCTGCCGTTGCTACGTTAGTTCAAACAGTAACAACGGACTACTTTTCTTAGCGGATGCATGTCAATTTAAGTCAATACAAACAACTATTTTTCAATAAAATCGATTTCTAAATCCATAAAAGCATTTCAATTAATATTGGGAGTCGTTACTTTGTCAAGAATGTGGCCATGTTTATTTCACACATTGCATAATGTGCCTTCATGCCTGTCGGTGTTCTTTTCCCTATAATGACCGCGTCGCTGGACATGATCCCTTACATATGATTATATAGAGTCATTATTCATTTGTTTTAAAGCAGGAGGCGCAAAAGCTTGCCTCGGGGAGGGAGAAAAAGAGCCACAGCGGAGAATAAACAGAAGGGCAACCATGGCAACCATGCGCGGGAAGTATTTTTTGCTGCTTTTGTGGCAGACTACAGCGCCACTTACAGGCCTGGCATATGTACTACAGCGTCTCCAGCGCTTTCGAGCAGCAATGGCCGGCCGTGGCCTCTCATTCCCCTGATAGGTGGAGAATTGACCAATAGCCGTAGCGCCACTTTACTGACGTCAGTAAAGTGTTCAAATCTGGATCAGTCTGTATCAGATCGGTTACAGACCCTTTTTTAGAGATTTGGGTATGGAGGAAAATAGAGAGGGTTGTGTTTTCTGACACTTGGTGAGTTCCCTTGAACACCGAGGACACATATTCATGTATAAAAGACGTACAAAAGTGCATTTTGCATGATAGGTCCCGCATCAGCTGTGTTTCAGTCCCTTGAATTGTGTTGAAATGCTAAGTAAGAATAAGAGTACCCTGGATGACGCACTTATAATCTTCAAAGAGTCCTGCAGCTCTTTCTAGTCTTGATGAAATGAATTTAAAAATGGGAATTCAACTTTGCCCACTTTCACATCTCCCCACCAATAGCCAATTACTGTTTAACAAAATCTCCAGGCAGTGTTGAGTTTCGGAAGAAAAACAAGAAGCCTAAAACCCAACTGAACATTTTTGCTGCTGATTAAATATTTCTAGAAAACATGTGTGGTAAAGACCAGATCCAGTCATCTTCCTGGACTTCCATTAAAGGGATAGTTTGTAGGATTTGGTGGCAACTAGAGGGAGGTTGCATATTGCAACAAACTGAACACTAGCAACTTTTCAAGCTTGGGAAGAGGTGAAAATGGAACAAAGAGAAATTATTAAATTGGATAAACCTGAATTTGAAATATATAAAAAACGTTAAATAATTAAAAGAAGCCGGTTCGGGACGCCCTATAGCTCAATCTACTGGGGCTTGGTCCCCAATAATAAATAAATAAAAAGGCCTGTTCATATTTCCCATAGGGATGATGCAAATATTGTTATGGTATACAATACAGCTTGTATGCTTTATGGCACACACAATGACAAAAGCAATTAAATCAAGCTTCTTCCCGGCAGACATATTATTGTGTTCCACAGAGTGTACTCATCCTTAAAAGTTAGTTCAAATTAGTTCAAGAATTTCAGTAAAGCTGGACGCATATTTTTGCAGACAAACAGACTGTGTGATCTGGCCCAATGAATCACCACAATCCCTGTGGTGGCAGGGGAAGTGGCACATAGATTAACTATTCATACTGGCAGTGTGTCTCTCCCTCTCTTTCTCCCTCTCTGGCCTTATTCAGATGCTCTAATTAATCAGCCTTAAATAGATGGACAGACCTAGATTACTGACACAACTACTCATGCACCATGTACTATTTAATACACAGCTGACACTGAAAGGCTGTGTGTGGTATGTGTGTTTGTGTCTTATAAAAGACTGTAATTATAGTTACAGAATTATTGTAACAGTTGAGTTTTTGAAATCTAAGTACCTTCAAAAGAAGAAGTTCTATATTTGTTTGGCAGTTCATCTTTACATTGGAGTTTAAGTTTACAAATGAAAAGCAGGATTTCGGATTCATTTATCTAGGATACATTCCAATTAATTACAACTTTGGGTTTACACTCAGTTTTGCCATCATTTCTTACGTTTTTATAACAAACTCACATAAGCTGTTCCTGAGACCTGGGAAAATATATTACGTTGCTACACGAAGTGAAACAGGGAAATAATTACCATTATGATATATACAAATAAATAGTTATTTGGAGGTAAAACTAAGACTCAGCAACAGGCCCCAAGGGAGTTGGCCTTTGCAAAGCCAATTTTGCGTGGTGGCCAAGCTGCTGTGTCAGTCATGTGATGCAATTTGGCCCAAAATGACTTCTTCCCATTGACTAACATTGTCTGTAAATCAGCCTACAATTTATAAAAAACGATATATAAACTAAACCATCATATTTAAAATATAATGGTCCCTAAAGTTGCAAAATGAGCTAAAAGCACTGTCAAGAGTTATTTTCCTTCTCCAGTAATTTGACTAAGACGAGACCGAACATGATGCTGTCGTGACGCAGTGGACAGGAGGCGGGGCCTTAGGAAAATGCAAGTACACATGCTCTATGGGCCCAATCAACAGAAGAACATTGGAAGTTATTTTCCCTCTCCAATAATTTCATTGAGCGGAAACAGGACGTGACGCTATTGTGACACAGCGGATTGGAATTGGTACTTAAGGAAAACCCAGGTGCCTATGCTCCATTGGCCCCATGGATGCAGAAGATTGCAGATGAAGATCGGTCATTTTAGTACTCCATATTCCCACTACTTTGGCTTTATGAATGGGAAAGAAACAGAGGCCCGCCTCCAACGCTGTATCCAGTTCTCTTTATACAACCATGGTCAGCACACCTAAATGTTGAGATTGAAACAAAGAAAATGTACAACAAGCTTTGTGTTATATGTATCGATCTTACCAGGTCAAAGCAATTAACTTGCAAGTGCAATGTTACTATTACCAATACAAATAACGGTCCTTTAATTGTCAAATCAAATGTAAGCGTTTGCTTTTGATGGCCATTTGAAGGCAGCAGAACAATAACAAAGACAAGATTGACATATTTGAAGTGTTGGCCATTTGACTGATGTACGTCCATATTCGCTCTCCTTTTAGCTGTTTTGGTCTCCCCCAACTCCTGAGATAATGTCTGGCTCTCAAACTATTCAGTGCTCCACTATGTTCATCTGCTCATTGCAAATGTGTTTCTGGACAATGCAAAGTGGGTGTGATACAGGTTTTTACATGGAGACAAGAAAGGTTTGGACTATAAATCATCAAAATAATGTAAAAACCACTCAAACATGGGGGCGGATTGCAGAGTTCGCGATACCTTTCTGTGGATTCCTAAGCAAAAAAAAAACCCTTTCACATTTCAGTACACACATTCATTTAGTCCATTGTTGATAACTAATGCAGCTTTATGCATTTCCCTTTTATTTTCTCTCAGTTCTTTAAGACGTATGTATATCCCTAATAGGGTGGCATAGCAGTGAAAAACCAAGTTTAAGACAGATGACACAGGCCAAATTGAGTCACATTCCACCATCGAGTTTAATCTTTATTTGTACATTAATGCATTTCAACAAGGCTTGGCAATATGGCAAACAATTAGATTTCACATAAATCCACCTTATCCCCTTAAAAATCTTCACTTATTCATCACCACTAAGCTTTAACAGTGATCAGCGTTTACATGAAGAGCAAAGTATTACACGTATGGCCTGATTATACTGAATTTTACAAAAGTCAGTGATGGTAATTTACCCTTAATATTTCACAGTGAAACTAGATGACTTGCCACAGTTTAATGCTAGCGAAAATCAAAGATTATTTTATTGAATAGTGTACAACTATCTGGCTCCTCCTCTCATTTGGTCCAATGTGTGAGCTCTAAAATCTAGTTACTAAGACAAACATTCCTTCCATCAGACATGTAAAGCAGCAGGGTTAGAAAAAGCAGTTTTTCCAATAGAAACCAGGTTGTGCTACACAGCATAGAGACAGCGTAATAGAGAACACAGGTTACATTTCATATAAACAGCCTTTTCCGAATGAATTTTCAGCCAGACACTATAAGCAGTGTGGATTATCAAACCTGTAAAGGTAGTTTTTATAAATGCTCGGCCCCATTCCTTCATCAAATAAACAGCACAGATCCACATACATGACTGTATCAAGATGCTGGAGCTGGCAGAAAACCACCAAGAAACTGCCTGAGGCCCCACTGAAGGGCCTGCAGGGGAATACTGGCTCATACAGTCTTATTCCAATGCAATCTTTCCTATATGAAAATATTGCCATCGGAGATCCCAAAATACTAGGCTGAATTACCAACAAAGTTAGCAAATGATTCAATGTATATTGGCACCACTTAAGTATAATATCAAATTAAGTAGATCCTGCTTTATTAGCTTATTCGTGATCCAAAATCATCATATCGAAATGACTATTTATTTATTTTATACCAGAACAATTGACTTATTTACACATTTCTGCACACGTGTGTTTAATCAAATAACCACACATGAAATAAAGAAAGAAAAAGCACAGGAGTACTGCTTGGTTTCTCCTGCAATGGGAGCTTATCGTGGCCCCATTAGCAAATGTGTGCTAAAATGCCTTACAGCTCACTTTTCGTGTTTTAAAACCGCCGACTTTCAACAGCATTTTGGGGTGCTATTGGATTTTATAAGAATATTAACAAATGTAGTTTAAAAGCCTCAACAAAAAAGTTACAATGGTCAGAGGCTGTAGTCATTTTAAACCTGCATCAGTCATGAGTACAGAACTGGTTAACACTTAAGAAAACCTGTCAATCTTGCAACTTTAAAAATACATTGCATGCTAATAAAAGCATGTTATTCATTCATGGCTGTGCTTGTCAATCTGTGCTCAAAAGCATCAGATGATATCAAATTATATATATAATGAATCCATCACTAAAGCAGACATTTAGGGCTCCACTAAATCCAATTGGTTTACACAGAGCATCACCATCAAGAATAAGGACTGGCGGAGCATTTCAAGGTTCATAATGGCAGTTTAAGCTGCACAAGGCAACACTTCTTAATTTGCGGAAAAAAACAAGACAAAAAAAACCCACCCCCGCCCATCAATCACAATCAAGAAATATGGCTGCATTATCCCCACAATATATTCACTCAACACAAACACACATAAAGACACATTTACTCAACTCGGAATTATCAGTAACCTTCAATGACCAATTTGAAATTCATGAGCACGACTAAATGGCACGACTATTCATGCTAAGGAATCCATTTGTGCCAGGTCAAAACTTCCCCCGCAGTCTTTCATAACCATATACCATTGTAACAAGGATTTTTATTGATGAAAGTTCGTCAACCTACCACGTTCCCTTTATGGCATTTATAATAGGATGATAAATCTGATATCACTGTGCTCTTTTTTTAAAGGTGTACACGTGTGTCATTTTAAAGGGTTACTTTTAAGATTCTTTCACAAGTCTAAGTTTAGTTAGTTAAGTGGCTAGTATTGGTCATTTGCGCTGCAGCAGGTAGCTGCCAAACAGGCTTCTATGCAATTACGCAACATATATACTACCATCAATGTATGTCTGATACAAGTGCTTGTTTTTCTGCCACCAACAGTTTGATATTATATTATTACTTGTTATTATAAGTATCCAACAACATCACCTACAGAGAAAAGGATCTAACAGAAGAATTAAAGGTTTTTTGTCTGACTTGAAATTATCGGTACCTGTAAGGGGGGGGGGTAAACAAAATGGACAACCTGCACACCTGTTTTTTTCGTCTTTGACACTGTATGTGTTGTTTAAGAAAAAGGTACATCAGATATATATATGTCGGCTATATTGATAAAGAGCTGATTTTTGGGATATCGTAAAGTGTTGTCTTTTCTGGTTTTTAAGAAGCTATATATTGGTTTGACTTCTATTTTTTCACCATGAACACTACTCGAGAGAATCTTACTCTAAAACGTTGTATGAATAAGCTTCAGTGCTCAGTCTGACAGCCGTAGAGCAAGGAGCTATGGACATACGGCAATACAAGTAAAACACTCACTGGCAGCAACATAGTGTCCGCCAGCCGATCTCTATTCCAAGCACAGAAAAAAAAGACACAGGTGCTCAGAAAAAGACGCTATGTAGACGTAGGCCCTTGGTGATTAAATCCACATTAGAGATGGTCATTTCAAGTATATCATTATATAAATATATTGTGATATTTTCTCCATATGGTACAGCCCTCACTCCAACAGAACAGACCCCTCCCAGCTCTCCTCTCTATGACTCACTCACATTTCTACTGTTTTCTACAAGACTAAAGACACCTCTGTGGCAAGATTTCAGAAGGAGACTTCCTCTTGAATGAGACCATGTTAGACACAATAACAAACAGACCTTTTCGGACGAAAGGTAAAAAGAACATTTTAATTAAGCGTGATTATCCCGAGCAATTACATTACAGCGCTCTGGCTCAATACTAGACTAGTTTTAAAATATGTTGTCCCCATTAGTCACGTAGAGACAAAAGCAAGGGTTAGGGTTGAAACTTATTAAAGTGAACCTTTAACATCAGTGCCTATTGGCAGCTTAATCAGTCTCCACACTGCAGTTTACAGCAACATAGGATTCTGGATTGCTTCATTTGCAGCACAACCATAGACAATTGATTGATGGGAATAAAAGGGAACACATTTTTGTTTATCCAATTCCGCAAAGCTAAAGATGTCTTGGAGGTGTGGGAGAAGCAAAGAGGATTATGGGGGATAAAGTCACTCGCAATAAAAATACCACCGGTGTGAGGCAAATGCTATCAATCATCTCTACCTTGTTCCATTGTTTATGGAAATTATACCATGATACCTGATAATAAATTGATGTTTGAAAGTGTTCCACATAGAACCTCTACTTAAGTGTAATACTGCAGTAGTTGGCGGTATAAATTAAATTAAACTCAGCCATTTTTATGCACAACACTTTCCACATATGAAACATATAATATAGCATGAACCCATAAGCATATTGCTCAAATATTACATTCACAATTTTTAACCTAATTGATTAATAAAACATTTAAATTAAATGTTATCACTAAATCCTTTCATTATTTGTTGCACATTCATCATATACTGTATATATATGTATAATTGATCACTCTATATTTCACTCTATAATTTTCTTTCAAAATATATTATTAACACACTGTTAAATACACTGTTGTTAAAGTTGGATGTGATTATAAAATACATTGTACATTGTAAAGTTTGACCTTTGACAGTTTTTAAAAGTCCATTTTTTTTAATATTATATGAAGTATAAGCAGGTGTTAAAGTGAGGCATTACATAGGGAAGAAGATATATTGTAATATAAGGCCTGAGACACGTTTATATTGTTAAATCTTTATAAAAAAGATAACAGAAGGGTATGGTCTGGCATTAGTTATTTTGTCCAGCTGTAAGCGTTTGTGTTATTGCGACCAAGCAACATCATGAGAACGCCTCATATGTGAATTGTGTTTTTCCTGGTAGTTGTGTGTACCCTGTACAATACATTCACCAGAATAAACCCGCACATAACTATATATATTTCTTATTTAGATTGAGAATAATGTGTACATGTAACTTCTAAATCAACATGTTTAGATTTCTGATCAACTCCATTCGAATAAACATAGTGCTTAAATTATATAAGGGTTCTATCAGTGGCCATTTTTCCTCATTATCTCAACCTGAAGTTCAGAATCTCACATCGCTTTAAACTTGAACAGATTATAATGATATTGTGAAGGACTGTTAACATAAGAAAAGGCAACAATTAACTAGTCTTTTAAGCAGCCTTTAGTAAGTCATTAGAAGGCAATGGCAGCAACTAGAAGCAACATTAAAAACTAATTACAGGCAAATAAATCTGTACAGAAATTCTGTCCTCTGTTGGTTTCAACAGAACAAATTAAAGATATTTTCTATCTTTTGGCAACACAGCTCTTCCCAAGTGGTGGTAAAAAATCATTTTCCTTTACAAATCAACCAGAAGATGATGACGATGATGAAGACGATGAAGATGAAGGGGAGCCTCTATGGGTCTCTTCTCCTCTCAGTTCCGTGAACATTACTGATGACGATGACGTCATTTCCTTCTCTTTCTCTTTTCTACTTCCTGTGCAGACTGACCTCTGGGCAGGTCTAAACTGCCATGTCACCTTTGTTGACGCCTGCTCCACTGTTGTCGACCGTTTCACTGGCGAAGTGACACGCTGAGTTGCCATGGGAATGGTCGTTGAATCTTCCAGGCTGCTGGTTACCCCGGTAACCTTCATTGCTTTACCATTGTTGTTTTTATCCTGTTCCGTGAAAAGCTCACTCAGCACTTCAGGCTCTGTGGTATCTCCGAATAAGTCCCAGCCCGGTTCAGCGTGCAGCTCTGATCGTGATGCGGCGGCAGCTCTGTTTCCAGCAGAAGAGATCCTGGGGGGGCGACTGGGATCAGAGTCAGACAGGTCTGAGTCCCAGTCACTGTCCCCTGCCACCGAGCCACAACCCAGAACTGACATGTCACCAGGGCCAGATCCTGAACTCTCCGAGTCGGACTCCCTGAAGAAAACACAACAGGCACAATCTGAGTGAAATCATATGGAATTGTAGTAATCAAAGTGCTAATGGCATCTACAGCCTATCGCCGATTGGTGAACTTTGTCACAACAAGGAATCGTTATTTAAAAAAGAAAGCTTCATTATTAGAGCTCTATGTTAAACACAGGGGGAGGGGAAAACACACATTTCAATTAAAATACTCCATGAGTTTGAAGTGGAAATTAGATAAATGATGGTTGTTGACAAAAACATGCTTTTGTATGGAAATTGGATTCCAAAGGAATCAGAAGTTCTCTTCCCTGGGATAAACCCTGTCTCTCCTTCCTGAGATGTGTGAAAGTTTGCACTAATGTTCACTAGGGCCTCATGGACATTCTCAAGAACATCTCCAACCTCCTAACTCAATGTCTTTTGTTGACATGGGACACTTGGATTTCACATGCCTAACCCTTACTTTGATGTGCAAAAAAGTATTCCAGAAGTGGTAGTTAAAATCCTAGCAGACAAGGAACTAAACCTTGTATGAGTGGAAATGGAATCCAAGATTGAGCGGTGGATTGTATTAGCAGTAAATTGGCTGCTGTCGGTGATGGTATTAGGTATTCAAGGAACATCTAGCTGGAAGAACACCCTGTGGATAACCCAGAACACTCTGACGGGAACACGTACCCTATCTGGGCTAGAATGTATTGGTATTCTTCAGAGAGCTGGAAGACATGGCTGGGGGGAAGACGCCTGGGCTACCTTACCTAGTCAACTGCCACAACGAATCAAGCACATAGAAAGTGCGTCGTTTGTTGAAGCACATTTTAGTAGTGTGGCCAAATAGTGGTACTATGACTACCGTTTCAGTCATGTGATGCCAATCACGTGAAGCCTTAAAAGTCCTATTCACATTGACTTGCATTGGGAAAAATACGTCAAACTCTCAAGTAGCCATTATTTAAATCATTAGGTCCTTAACATTTTAAAATGCACCAAAATCTGACTGAGGTATCTTCCCCCTCGATTTATTTGATTGAGCCGAGACCAGAAGTGACGCTATTGTGACGGAGGGAATTGGAGGCAGGATTTAAGGAAAACTGTTAATCCATGGACCCAATGGATGCTGAGGATTGCCCGAAGATCCCTGAAATGATCTGGGTACTTTAGTCCTCGACATTCAGGCAATTTTTGCTTCATGGGCCACTGAGCAACTTTCATAGGAATGAACGTGGCCTCGCCTCAAATTCTGTATCCAGTTCTCTTTTTACATCTATGTTAAATTACAAACACGACCAGGTAAAGTGGACCAGAACATGAATAAATGTATTGCATTTGAATGCTTAGTTGTCAGTCCCCACTGAACTATGAATGATGGAATGCAGGGATACAGTGAACAAAAAGTACACATACCTGCCGCTGTAGGGTGCAGTTCCTGTGGGGCCCAATAGGTGGCAGGCCGGAGCAGCCAGGTACACAAAGCTGTCAGTGCACAGAAAGTCTCCTTCCTCTGGTTTTTGTGGACCAAGTTGAGTTGGCTTGGTCCGCCATTCTGTATTTGACTGGTCAAAGTGTGTTTTCACGCTATTTGAACGCTTTTGTACACTGCCTTGTTTTATACCATGGGTGGGAACTTCTGTCTTTGTGGCGACTTCCCCCTGGGAGGCGGGTTTTGCAGACACAGCGAGGTAAACAAAGCTGTCCGATTGAACAAAGGGATCTATGTCACCACAGTCCAGTCCTGAGCTTCTTATTGGCATCTGATTTGGATCTAGAAAGGGTTTGATTGGTTGTTTTAAGGGAGACAGAGGAAGAGGAATGTCACCTCCCATGAGGGTCACTCTTTTCCTGGGCGGTATTTCTTCACTTTGTGGGGCCATAAAAGTTGTGGAGCCCTCGTTGTCTGTATAGTTGAGATGGGTCTTCATGATTGAAACCGTGCCTATCCTACCAACCCCTTCTTACATTTCCATCTTTCCCTCCCCTTTCATATGTCCCCATATTTCCATACCCAGCTTCCTCTTGGTCCCTATCTCCTTCTATGTCTTCTTGCAAGGATGTATTGAATAGTGTAGGGTAGCACCACTGTAGCTCTGCACTCTCCTCCCTCCCCCATTCCTTTGACCCTCCGTCCTCCCCGTCCTTTTCCAGTGACGTGCTGCTGCTGCCTAGGTCAGAGCCACTGATTGGCTGGTCGCTGTCAGAGCCGGCCTCCTCCTGGCTCTGATTGGATAAGGAGAGGAAGACGCCGCTGGAGTCGGACTCCAGTGTCAGGTTGGAGTCTGGAGAGCTGTCCTCCTTAGTGGAGCTGGGAAAAAAACATGGTAGTCAAAAATGGCTACTTCCTGTTGTGCCTCCTGTGACTAATAATTATCTTTCTTTACCATTGGTTACCACTAAATCCATCAACTTTTTGGGATCAAGACTATGAATATTTATTTGCCCCACAGAGCACTTTTTTTAATGACAAGTTGATTGTTACAAAGATCTGCTAAAGACAGATTCAGATAGCACACTTTAGATATGAAATCTACTTAATTGGTCGCAAATGATGTGCACTGGATGCCTTTATTATCTTTATATGAATCCTGTCTGCTTTCATGCTAAACTACCTGTACACGCACTGTTCAAAGAGAATGAGATAATAACAGGTTGAAGTGGCCTTGGCCAAGACACTGAACCCGAAATTGCTCCGTATGCATGGCACACAACTTTTACTACTGTTTATGCTTTGTTATATGTGGGATTGAGGAATCTATCTTCTTCTTCAGCACTGACTTATTTATTTGTTTACCATCTTTCTTGTCTGATTCACTCACTGTGACTGTTCAGATTGACTGATTATGTGGGATGTACCTAAAGGCTCAAGTGTTGGGCCACTACAATTACGTGTATTTGTTATCATCCTCGCCCTTCAGACATTTGGTGCATTTCATTTGCATTTACTTAAATGTAAAAAAAGACTATTAGCACTGCATACATGAAGTACACAGCTGCAGGTCAACATTGGATGCTGATGTTTTACATTGCTCTTTACATAGTTAAAAAGGCTTAAGATTTCAAATGATCAGACACACAAAGTTCTACATGTAACATAAACATTATTTAAATATCCCAATCAAAGTAACACATGTGCTATACTGACGCCAAAAAGCCAATAAATAGCATTTAGTGCAAAATGATGGCCTACGTTTTTATTATTATCTGATCATTGAATTGAACTGAAGAGTCAATAGCCAAGTGCATTCATAAACACACCAGAGTGACTTAAATCTGATCGTTAGTTTGTCTTGACTAAATTCAAATCTGGTTTTCCCTTTTTTCGTGCAATGAATCTTCAGTTATGCAGATTATAAGCAAACATCTGGTAGATAAGGTTTTCAATGCTGACAATAAACGTTTTTGTGGAATTACCTTGTACCAACAGTGGAAGTCCCAGCAGGTTTAGTTGACCAGTCAGAAGGTCTTTCTGTGTCTGTAGTTGGTGAAGCCATAGCAGTGAGCTCCAAACTGATATGGGATCTGCTCCCTGTACCTGGGAAGTGGAACACAGATTTAAACACAATTAAACATGAGAAGAGGGAGATATTAGCAAGATATAATCAATAGGACACTGGTCATTCCCCAATCATAGTCAAAACTTTGGATATTTTATCATAACCATTAGATCAGAGTTTCCCATTGTCTTATGATGAGATAAGAAAAGTGAAGGACACAGGTTTGTGAAAGCAAAATAGTGTCCGTGATAGTACCTGAGCCAACAAATCCTAAAATAGGAATTATAGTGAAGACTGGCTTGAGCTAAGATAATAAAAAGCCAAAGGCTACAACAGAAAGATCCAGAGAGAAAGTGAGGAAGATCCAAATAGAACGGAGACACATGACATTGAGGGAAATAAGCCAAAATCCAAACTTCTCTTTAAACCTTGATATCCCTTGATGGAACAATAAAAACTCCAGTCCCCATCTTCTGTCAAACATGACAAAGATCTTCCCAAGTATCCATGACAAATAAACTGACCCTTATAAGTAAAATCAACAGACTTAGGTACCTAAATAAAACAAATATGACCTGCTCTATCAAAATCAGTCACATCGATCCTGAAACACATTTTGCAATTTTTACACTGTTGGAAAGAGGAGATTCTTAGCTTTCCAATTATATCTTATTGTGTTTGTTCTCCAAATATAGAGCAAAAATATTTCGAATAACATAATGTCTGTTAACACAATTTGGAAAAAGGCCAATAAAGTTTGCTGACAATATTTTAGCAACAGTTATTGCTTAATAACATGTTGAATCGGGAGCGGAAGGTGTCGGCACGGCCGAAAAGACACGACGGTGCTGGACAAACCCATTTGAGTAGGGCGACAGGACGCTCATCGACGGCCAGACATCTATCGACAGACGAAATCGGCCCGGTGTGTCCGGGCCTTTAGACATCCCTCTATTCCAGCCAGATTTTGGGTCCTTAGCTTGAAAAAAAAGGAGGCGGAGCTAATGCCTGATCAGACTTCTACCGGAGATAAAGTTAAATTCAGCTGTGATAAAACGCCATCCTGTTCTAAACCACATCAAGGATTATTTCTGAAACAGTATGGAGCTAAAATTATTTTAGGTGAGTTCCTTTTTTTATTTCCTGCTTTTTAAACACATCCACTCTCCAGTACAGGTTAGTTCTGAGTGTTAGTGAGGCTTGCTAATGTAAACAAATACTATTACGTCCAAAACACATCAGGCATTGTTTCTGATAGCAACTCTCTGTGGGTCCACCATCCGAAATTACGTCATATTGGCAGCAAATCTGTATCCGCTCGTTGTATCCCCGTTTTTAAAACGAAAGAGAAAGGGTTTTATTTGCTGACGCTGCGTGAGTCCCCTGACACACCAGGGAGACATATTTATGTATAAAAGACATAAAAAAGTGAATTTTGCATGATAGGTCCCCTTTAAGCTTCAGAAACGTATTTATCTGCTGAATATGACAATACATGTTTGAGATTCTGAAAGCCAAGACTTTGTTTGTTTAGAATCAACCAAATCCCCAAAATGACTAAATCACAAGTTTTTTACACAAGTTACATAATTTTACACAATTATCTCGCAATGCACTGTTGCGACATCCGACTGATTTTGATAGAGCGGGTCACAAATATGGGAAGATAGAAAACAAACACATACAATCCTACTGATGTGTACCTGTCATGAGAGCAGCTTTATCTCTCTGCGGCCCTGGGTGTGTTTGGTACATGTCAGCTCGTTCCCTCTGTGGCTCCAGCAGTGGTTGGTATACATCCTGGGTGTCCCTGTGTGGTTGGGACAGGTCTAGGTGCTCCAGGTCAGAGTCCAGCTCCCTGGCTCTCCGCTCCAACTCAGTCAGGCTGAGCTCCGAAGCTGCAGAGGAGGGGGGGTGAGAGCCCCCAAAACCCATCGGGGGTCGAAGAAGAGGCCAACGCGGAAGGGAGCCAGAAAAGGAATCTGTATCATCCCCTCCACCCGCTCCTCCTTTCTCCCAGCCATCCTCCCACAAAGTGTTGACCATGTCCAGGACAGTGTCCCAACCTTCTTCCTCTCCCAAAGGGCCTCCTTCTTCTTCTCCTCCCTTTACCTCACTTTCTTCTTTCTTTGATTTTGTCACAACCTGCTTGAACTCTTTTCCATGCTGCCCTTGTATTGCATCTTTAGTCTCCATTCCCTTATCCTCCTTTTTTAGACAAATTATTTCTATATCTCTTTCCTTTTTCACACGTTCCTTTATCACACGTTCCTTTATGTTCCAATCTTCTGGCACTTTCTCTACAACCCTTCTCTCTGACTTTTCTCGTTTGGTTTCCTCTACTAGCCCCACACTGACAGGAACCCTCTCTTTCTCCTTACCCACTTTCTCCTTCTTTTTGTCTTTCTCTTCCCCCCTCTCCTTGTCTCGCTTCTCTTCTTTTCCCTTCATCTCCTCGATCTCAGTCTTACCCTTGCTTAGCTCTGCTTGTTTCTCCTTGCTTCTGGACCTCTTGGGTTCCTCTTGCTCTCTGCAGACCCTCCAGTGCTCCAAGTTCTGCTCCTTCAGGGAAGCTCTGCCCACCAAACTGGTGCTCTGTCCTGGATCTTGGTGGGATGGCTCTTTAAGTGAGCATCGTCCCATGATACTTGTAGCATTCATGAGTGTTGTTAGCGGATTCTCTGAATAGTGTCCTGGACGAGGGAGGAGGTGAACATGCGGATGCCTCTTCTCCAGTGCTGAGAGGACAGAGGGGAGTGGGGGGAGAATAGGGAGATTGTGGAGTGCCCCACCCTGCCGAACAGTCCTCTTTCTGACAATAATTCGGCGTGGCCAAGTTGACTCAATGCCCTCAGCAGGGCTTGTTTGCTCAAGGTCCGGAAACCCTCTGCTTAGGCAAGGGCTGACAACGCCTGGACGGATCCCTGTTGCCGTGCCAGGTCGAGTCCTAGATGTTGATTTGGAGGATTTGGACTTGCGGGACCTGGAACATTTCTCTACATGGCTAGATTCAATGTTATCAATGTCCAAGGGCTTTTTCTCATCTTGCTCTACAGGAGCATTCTCCGTTTTATCCCCAGCAACAACATTTATCTGGGCTTTATCTGTAATCTCGTTGCTGCTCTGGGTTTGACAAGCAACCCCAGTCTCGATGTTACGTTTAGTCCCTGTTTCCTTACCAACCCCAGTCTGTAGTACTGCCTCAGGCTCAGATGGGGCCATCTTAACTTCTGGTTTAATTTCAGCTTCTACTGTGGGCTCTGCTAGTGAACCAACCTCACTATTAACTGTTGCTACACCCTCAACTTCATTACCAATCAAGTTGTCCACTTGCCTTGAAATAGCTCTAACCTCAACCTCTGCCTCGATCTCTGGCTTCATCCCTGTACCAGGTTCAGCTACCAGCTCAACATTATTTCGAGGCTCAAACCTGTTCTCAGATGGTGTAGACTCAGCAATAGGTTCTTGTTTAGCCCCACCCCTTCCATTTATTTCTCCACTCCTTGTCCCTCCCTTGTGTCCCTCCTTGTTCACAGTTGGAGCCATATTTTCGATCCCTACCCCAGACTGCACCTTTCCTTCTAGATCCCGTCCCCCTGGTCTAGTTTTCACCTGGGAGCCCATTCTTTTTTCAGACCCATTTTTAACACTAGCCCTGGATCCGTGGTCATGCTGGTTCCAACTTTCAGCTCTATGGTGTTCTTTTATTGCAGCCCTTATTTCGGCCTCTGACATGTTCCCAACTTCATTTACTAACCTCGGCCCATACCCAGATTTGCTGTCAATTAACACCAAACCCACACTCCCATTGTCATACTTTGAAACCATACCCCCACCTATACCTTCAGATCCAACTTTTGACCCAGCTCTATTCCTGCCCACAGCGGCAGTCCCCATTCTGGGGGCATTGGGGGAAGGTGAAGGGGAAGGTGAAGGCTGGGGAAGCAACAGGGGTGTTGTGTCTAAAACCTGGTCAGGCTCTAAAAACACAGAGTCTCTGTCAGAACGCAAAGGTACGGGTCGACCATACCCGAAGGTCCCAAAGGACGATGTTTCCCTCCTCTCCCTTTCTCTTGCCCTCTCCCTCTCCACTCTCCCCCTCTCCCTCTCTCGTTCCCACTCTCTTTGGGCCCACCCTCGCTCCATCTCCCTTTCTCTCTCCCGCTCCCAGTCCCTTTCTCGCTCATTTCTCCACCCTCCTCCTCGATCCCTCATTTCCTGCTCGAGGTCATGAGCAGATAGTTGGACCAGCGGGGCGCGGTAGGGGGATCGCCTTACCTCGAGGGGTGGCGACATTCTGAGGCTCTGTGTTTGCGAGTAATGCCTCGGCTGGATGACATGGGGAGGGGAACATCGCAAACTCTGAGACTGACTGGGTCGAGGTTTGGCAGGGGAGAAGAAAACTGGAGTATGGTAACCTGAGGAGAGAGGTGAGCCGGAAAAGGGGGAAATTAGGGGGGAAGTAAGAGAAGAGGACTGGCCCCCAGGGGGAGGGTATTGCCCTGGGTTTAGATACCCACCTCCTCTGTCCATCATCTCAGTTGTAGTATACTCCATACACTCCATCTGTGTTGGAGGTGTCATGACTTTCCAGGAATGTCGACCATCTCTACTCTTTGCACTGTCTCCATGGTGATGGTGGGGGTGATGGTGGTGCTTTTTGGATGAGGAAGACGACACTCCGGGTGCTGAAAAAGATGACATTGAAGGAGAAACTGATCGGTTGAAACATCCTGGCGAATGGCAGCCGACACCATCAACATCCTGACCACCGAGCTTCAATGAATCAAAGATGGCTCTTTCATCCAGTCGCCGAACAAATGAGGGGTTGGGAGTTAGAGAGCGGGGCTGGGAATCAAACATGTCAGCTGGAGACCTGCTCACCCTCAGAGAGCCACTTGCAGAGTAGCTAAAACTCCCTTCATTTCCACCGTCTCTCCTTATGGATCCTCCAGAGTGATGGTGATGGCTGTCAATCTGCTGATTGATGCACATGGTATCGTAGATGGATCTTTGGGGTACGTAGCCATCTCCATAACCGCCGTCCACTGTCGCAGCCCGCCCTCCCACTCCCCCATCTCCAGCTCCATGTTTTTCCAGGCAGCAGGAGCTCTTCCTGAAACACCCAGGACGGCTTAGAGGCTTTCCCATGATTGGCCGAATTGCTGACGGTGGGAGGGGTTGGTGGGATGAACGGTAGAAGTTTGAAGAGTGAATTGTGAATTTGTCAGATTTACTAATTCACAAAAAAATTGCTTAAAAAACATCAGAATGTGCAGGAAGCAGGGCATCTAGCTTTGGGAGGAACATGGCAAAAAAAAAAACAGAAATGTAAAATTCCAATTTTTGCTTTTCGTTTAATGTAAAATACTCAAGCATAATCTTTCTGTTCAACAAAAATAAGCTTGTCCAAAGCTCAATGTGATAAAAGCAATGAAAAGAGCATTATCGCAAATTGAAATATCCCAACCAGATTTCGAAAAGAAAAGTACTGAAAAAATATGTCCAGTTGTTATGTCCACAGAGTTACTGTTCTTAGCTCATTTCCTCTCCCACTCTTTTTCCAGCATTTCTACATTTGTATTTATTCTGGTTGTTTATTGTTCTGGATGTCGGTTTGGATCCAATTAAGTCTTTATCCAGTGGAGCGTTATTCTGTCAGACACAAAGCGACAGAAAGGCAGAGCACAGTGGAAGAAATTATGAATCCAGTCAGCTTCTTCTTTCATTCCGACTGTATGTGTTGATTACCATTGGCTGTCTGTAAAAAACAAAGAAAACAAAAAAGAAATTTGAACAAAAGACAGCTTGGAAAAGTCTCTCCACAAACGTCAAGTGAGTGGATATTAACATATTCAGTATTAAGACATTAGTATCAATCACTGATATTCTTGCATGCCCAATTAAAGAAGAACTCCAACAATTGTAATCGCCTATCACAGTTTACTTATACAAATAAGTACTACTCTACCTGTTGAAACAGTTCTGTAATGTCCTTGAATTGAGCTTTCTCAAATTAGAGATATTACGTCAATAATAACAGCATCAGTTAATTAAGATTGGTCGTTCCATATAGAACATTAGAACCCCTACTGTTAAATGATGCGCTAATGTCAAACAGCACCAACCCAAGGACCACGGAGGTCCACCATTGAGTTACCAATAATGCTGAGAAGAGAAGCCCTTTGCTCAGGAAGGGAGTTAGCCAGTTGAACACTTTTGTTTTTCTCAAAAGGCATTTAGTTGTTGTGTCTTGGAGCTAAACCATAGCTCTCAAAAACAGTCAATATATATATATTTTGAAATCCTTGGTACCTTGGTCCATTTGGAAGTTATAAAGGAGGACAAAAAGTAAGTAAGAATAAGTTCATAGCTAAGAAAACGAGGGGTACAATCCTCCAATATTTCTTACTTAGAACTATATGTTTTTTCTCCAAAGTACAGGCTAAACGCAAAATGTAATCTAATCTTCGATTTTCTGGAATAGCTCCTTACAGCAAGACTACAAAAGCTAAAAGCCTTCAATAACATTACTTTCTCATTGTCTCCCAAGGAAAGACCAACCACTTTAGTCAATTAATAATATATAATTAAAAAAACATACAGTTTTCAAAACCAAAAGGGTGAACAACTCTTTAGAGCCAAGACTACAAATGATAAAAAAAAATAACCTTCAAATGTATGTTTTCTTCTCAGGATGAGCTCGACATCAAGCTTAATGCTGCCCTTGTTGGCGAACCCTTTGATCCATTTTGTAAGTATTATATCTAAAATAATATAACACACCAACAGATCTGACTATCTAAAAGGGGGTGGGAACTGTCCATAGTTAAAAAGCGCAAGCAAAAAGGAGTTGGTCAGATGTAATAGCGACAGCCTGTACCAAGCCAAAAATAAAGTCAAGATGACGTCAATAATTTCCTTCAAAGCTGTTCCATTCTTCAATATGACAAATCTGAAGATGAATTTTCCAATATGCCATAAAATGAAAATATAAAAATGTGGCTTGACAGGAAACTGGATTATCTACAGCAGCTAGCCAGATAACTCCAGCATTGTCTGCGATAGCATAATAACTTGCTAAACGTTAGCTTGCAGGAAGTTACCAAAATTACAGAGAAAAAAAATGTGAAAATGAAATGCTAAATCCAAGTGAAAAGTCATACACTCATTCAAAATCAAATGATATTTCTCATCTGAAGAAAATATTCAGATATCGAAAAACACCTTAGGAAAGGTTTCCACAGCAGTCTCTCAAAAGTATTTGTACTGATCCTTTTAAATGTAATGTTAGAGAATCAAAAGTATCTATTTAGACTGTATTAGTCATGCATTCCTTGCAAATTAGTGAAGCTCTGTCAAAGGAGTCTATTGATAGTTGGGAATCATTCCTCGTCTCTCTATCTCTTTGCCTATCTTTTCAGTGTCCCTTCATTCTTCAGCATCCTCTCTCCCTCCCTCCCTCTTTCTCTCTTTCATCACTGCTGCTGCCACCTGCTTTATTTTCCCCACGATCGATAGAAAAGCCAGAACCTTATCAACATGGTCACAGTCATTAAAAGGCATCAGTCAATCCAGCGCGTCGATCTCAGTCCCATCCTGTTAAGGTCTTGTCATTCTGCCTCAAATCAGCAGTCCCCCGTTTCTTACCGGCATCTCTTCCTCTGTTGTTTCTCTCTCTCCCTCTCTTTATCTCTGCTGTTTTTCGTCTTTTCTGACGCTCGTCTCCCTCTCTCTCCCCCTCTTTCTCTCCCCTCTCCCTCTCTCTCCGCTGTGAATCATGCCTTCTGTCAGAGGAAGGTTTTTCTGACAAGCGCTCGCTCTGCCAACCAACACACCAACGCAAACCTTCCTCTTCCTCCTCCTCCTCTCCTTTTCATTCTCTCTCCCCTTTCTAGCTTTTCTTCTTGTCAATTCAGCCTCTCAATCTTTCCTTCTCTTCCTCTATCTATCTATCTCTCTCTCCTCCCATGTACACTCCACACAGCTTCGGGCATTAAGAGCTTTGGAGCTGCAAAGAGACCAACTTCTTCTCTCCAGCTGCTTTCTCTCTTTCCCATCTCTCACTCATCTTCTCTCTGTATTGCTATCTTTCCCTCTTCCCATTCTCTCATTCCCTTCTAGAATGAGTTTGACCTGAGTAGTTTCACTTGGGAAATCATCACCTTCAGACATTTTCTAAATGAGGTAACGATGGAGAAAAAGAACGACATCTATATATCCATCTATCTATCAATCTATCTACTGTATCTATCCCACATATCCATATTTCACTCTCCCACACACTCGTTTCTTCTCTGGCTCTCTCCATCCCTCTTGTAGCCCTCTCAGTTTGCCCTCTACCTCCCACTCCTCACCTCAGCGTTAATGCAACACACATCACTGTGGAGGCGGAATGGAGAGTGAAAGAGAGAGACGGGAGGTAGCAGCAACAATGGGCGCTCGCGTACTGTACTGTGCAGTTTCTAAACGTCTTCATCAGCAATATAATTTGCCCATGTACAGCTGTTTGAAAACAGACTCATTAAGGGATGTTAAAGGTGGGGTAGGTACGTTTGAGAAACCGGCTCGAGATACACTTTTTGTTATATTCCATGGAATGCTCTTAACATCCCGATAGCAATGAATATCTGAAGTGCTTTGACAATAAATCCATAAAAAAATGTCATCTGTGGAAGCTGTAGTACTGTAAAAAGCATGACCAATCATTTTAGCCGGCCCGGCTAAAGTAACTGGATGGCCTACCTGCCTGTCAGCCTTCCATCTGTGCACAAACTTATCTCGTGCCCTCATTGGTCATGTGCGCGTTCGTGTGTGTTGGAGGAGGGGCTCTGTAAGGAAGTGGCAGATTTTTCCCGGCTGTGTATTTTCAAATTCTAGCGTTTCTCCAAAATTACCTACCCCACCTTTAATTGAATGATTCCATCATGTAGCCTACTTTTTGTGCACCTGCTGAATGATACAGCAGATAGCTTCTACATTTGCAGTACCAAACACTCCTAGAACGAAATTCATTGGTGCAAAGATAAAGAAAATGAACAGAAAAGTAATGATGTGTCGGTCGCGAACGAGTCGGCTCAAAGAGCTAGCTCTTTTAAGTGAACGACGGGAGCCGGCTCGCGCCCGCGAACGAGCCGTTTTGTTGTTGTTGAGTAATACAAGACAGAATGATATGATGATCTCCGTGCTACGGGTGCTCCGTGCATGCATGCAGTGACATGTAATATCTAAGGATTAGACTGTTGGATGCTGCTGTTTTGAGCATTGCAATATATTTATTTTCATTATGTTATTAGGGCCCGAGCACAAAGTGCGAGGAACCTATTGTTATTGGTGGTATTATTATTATAGTGCTGGCGTTTCCTCTTTTTGAGGTCTTGAGGATGCTTCAAAAGTTGTATAATTTTGCACGGACGCCATGCAGGACCGGTGAAAAATTCAATATTCTGGAGTCAATGGGTTAAATATTCCAACCTGCTCACTAGCACCACCTATCAAAATCCCATTTCGGAATAAATTTACAAAGTCGCACCGTAACTCCGAATGACCTGACATTTTGAACACATATCCGGGTGGACCTGCTCTACAAATAATCCTCTTGGAATTTAAATTAGCATAATGTTCAAAACAGTTAAATATTCACTTAAATTTCAATTTTCAGTTTTTCAACACCAAACTTCGTATACAGCATCCGTGGAGGGTCAGACACATTACCCTAGGAGATGAGCATGTTCAAAAGATAAGTATTTCCGCCATGAATTAAAACGTACTTGCAAAAAGGCGGGGCTTAGAAAGAACTGCTCATAACTCATCAACAATGTATCCAAACATCACAGATTTTGGTAAATAGGTTCAGTCTGTCTTGGGGAATAGGCACACCAAAGCATTTTCATTTTGGACTATAGGGTGCGCCAAAAACACCACCAATTTATAACTCAAGAGCGGATGGACTAATCTTTTCTTTTTTTTTTTACACATACTCTCGGGGCGACTACGAACTCAGATTTAAAGTGTCGCAACAAATGCAGAATGTGGGCGTGGCCTATACATTTTGTTTAAATTGCGATAGCATAAAATGAGCTTCGGACGCAAAACTTGGGACACACGTCAGAGTCCACGACTTTTTCGAGAATGTAAAAAAAAACGTAATTTTTCAAAAATACTGCTCACTAGCGCCCCCTATTTTATGGTAGTCACATATAGTTTCTCAGAACTTCACGAATGTTGGCACAGACATTCCTCATGGAATTGCGGACATATTTGTACATACATTCCATTAGCCCCGCCCCCCAAGAAGTCGGCCATTTTGAAACATGTGCGTTTTTCATGCATTTTAAGCACATTCTTGCAAACTCCTCCTAGGGGAATGATCGGAAGAATTCCAATCCAGGACACGTTCAGCCCTTATCCAATATGATGCTAAATTGAGAAGAACATTTTTGATAGCTCAATCGTGGAGGTCGTAAGCTAACAGCGAATACACCATTTTTGACGATTTACATGTCGCAAATTACTCCAAACTACTCGGATATAGTTATTCCGATATTCATGAAACGCTGTATACATATTGCTATTATGATTGCACACATATTTCACATTGCCTTCCATTAGCCCCGCCCCCCAGAAAGTCGGCCATTTTGAAACATTTGCGTTTTTCAGCCATTTTAAGCACATTTCTGCGGACTCCTCCTAGGGGAATGATTGGAAAAATTCCAATCCAGGACAAGTTCAGCCCATTTCCAATGTGATGCTAAATTGCGAAGGAATAATTGATCGCTCAAACGATGAGCTCGTAAGCGAACGGAGAATGTTCCATTTTTGACGATTTACATGTCACAAATTACTACAAACTACTCCAAACTACTCGCGTATAGTTTTTCCGAGATTCACGAAACGCTGTATACATATTGCTATTATAATTGCACACATATTTCAGATTGCATTCCATTAGCCCCGCCCACCAGAAAGTCGGCCATTTTGAAAAAATTGCGTTTTTCATGCATTTTAAGCACATTCTTGCGAACTCCTCCTAGAGGAATGATCGGAAAAATTCCAATCCAGGACACGTTCAGCCCCTATCCAATATGATGCTAAATTGAGAAGAACATTTTTGATAGCTCAATCGTGGAAGTCGTAAGCTAATAGCGAATACACCATTTTTGACGATTTACATGTCGCAAATTACTCCAAACTACTCGAATATACTTATTCCGATATTCACGAAACTCTGTATACATATTGCTATTATGATTGCACACATATTTCAAATTGGCTTTTATTAGCCCCGCCCCCGACAAAGTCGGCCATTTAGAAAAATGTGCGTTTTTCATGCATTTTCAGCACATTCTTGCGAACTCCTCCTAGGGGAATGATCGGAAAAATTACAATCCAGGACAACTTCAGCGCATATCCAATGTCATGCTACATTGAGAAGGAATAGTTATTCGCTCAAACGGGGAGCTCGTAGGCTAACGGAGAATGTACCATGTTTGACCAATTATATGTCAGATAAGCTACTGAGACCTGCCTGTCTGCCTGGCACATCAACTCTCACACACACACACAAACACACACACCTACTGTTAGTCCAACAACGCCCTTTGCTGGCGGCATATTCTTTACAACAGACACCTATACACTCCCTAACCCTAACCCTACTGTTTATTTGTAGATATCTCCTAAAGCCTACAAATAAAGTGTGAAATGTAGGCCTGTTACATTTATTATTGAGCGATATATATTATACACACTGTTCTGCTTTCTGCACTGACCTCAGCAGCTTTTCTTACTGTAAACATCGCATCACAATGAAAGCAGTTGTAGTGAAAAAAAAATAGCCTAACATCCAGGGGACATGTGATTAGTGAGTAAACAAACGGTAAAGGGCAGAAAGTCTGATGCACATTTGATCATCTCAAATAACTTATAATCACAACGGGAACAGTTTGCAGAGCTGTGCTTCGTTGACAGAAGTCCAGCCATGCGTCACACCTCTTTTAAACATCACTGTTGGCTGAAATCGTCTCAGAGAATATTTCAGTGTACCCTCGGTGATAGCTCCTCCAGAGAGACTCCTCTCTCCTCTCTCCTCTCTCCTCTAAATCAGTGTATCCTCGGTTACGGCTCCTCCAGACAGCCTCCTCGATAATCGATCCTCGACGAGCCTTTAGAGAAATTTGTTTTCCTTCGAGACGGCGCGCCGACATCCGTTTCCGGGTCGCTGCCGGAGGACCTGGGAGTCTGGGACGCGAAAATTATAGAAATGAGAAATGGATCATTTCCCAGGACTCGCGCGCGTCTGCTTGATGCCGGGATGACCGGCTGCCCTCCTCGACAGGCGCACGGACGCGAGGGCCCGCTCATCACTGCGCGCACAAGTGCGACCACAGTTTTAATTTATGATTATTTTTAGGAGTTTTTGATCGTTACAAGGGTCTGTAAATGCAATGAAAACAATTGGCCACAGCAAATCA